TGTATTATTTATACATCCTACAAATATACAAGGTTTAAAAGAGAAAACAAAAACAAAACCCAAGCAAGACTCATGGTCAACTCAGAGACCCCCACCCCCCATACACCAGAGTAAACCTGCTCCTTAGGGTTTCCAAGTCAGTCAACCTTTAGGGGGCACATAGCCTCCTCTTTTTCCTGCGGAGTGGCTGATGGGTTAGACGCACCCACCATGCAGTTAGCAGCATAATGCCTAAGTGAAAGCGAGCACCGCCAGAGCCTGCCAATTACCTGGGAGCAACTGTCCAGATTCCTCCAGCACACAAACTACCTCTGTCCCAACTAGTCCCAACTGAAGAAGCCTCTTTTCTATTTCCATTTATTCATTAATGGCTCATTTAACCAAGTTTGCCTGTGATGTGCTAGAGGAGGTACTACGTATTATAACTTTCCAAATTTAAAGATATCTAACTGGTAGCATAGTGGTTACGAATTGGGCTGTGAACACAAGGTCAGTAGTTTGAAACTACCAGCTGTTCCGCGGGAGAAAGATGAGGCTTTCTGCTCCCATAAAGATTTACAGCCTCAGAAACCCTGTACAGGGTCGCTACGAGTCGGAACCGACTCCACAGCACATAACAACTACATCTTAATAACTCAGACAATTATCAATTTAAAAGGCTATATTGAAATACATAAAAATAAACTAACATTTAAAAAGACTTTAACATCACTGAGGTTTTAGTATCTTAAAAAATGATGCTAAATAAACAAATATTAAATTTCTGGTAAAAGAATTACATTTCACAGCTAGTGGCACTGGGCACCAAGCTCAAATCTCCTGTGTGTGCTTGAGTGTAGAGCTATAACAGGGCTTCGCACAATTCACAGAAAGATGGAACTACAAGAAAATGAACTTTTTCATCAACGTTTTAAAGCCCCTTCATATGTATGAGAACTCATGGGCATATCACAAGGTCAGCAGTTCAAATCCACCAGCTGCTCCTCAGAAACCCTATACAGGGTCATTACGAGTGGAACTGATTTGACAGCACTTACCAACAATAAAACTACTGGTTGCTTGGCTACACATAAGACGTTTTATCACTATGACTACCATTTACACCTAAACACAAAAAATGAATGCAAAAAAGGTAACATTCTACGTCCTACTCTGGTGAGTAGTATGTGGGATCCTAAGAGTTCAAGAGCGGCCATAAGGAGTGTAACTATTGGTCTGTCCACATGCAGAAGAAAAACAGAGTGGGAAGAACTGAAGATGCTCAGAATTTCTCAGTCCACCGAACTAAGGGACCTTGTGGGTTGTCTCCATGACGGAGAGCAGAGGAACTGGATGGAGCCTGGCTTCCCCTACTAACTGCTCTGGAAGGGCTCACATTAGCAGGTGAACACAACTCAAACTTTTATGTATAAAAAAAGATCAAACTTACTGGTCAGAAAGAGACTGGAGGAACCTGAGAGACTGTGGCCTTTGACCACTCTTCAGGTCTGGAAAGGAAAACTCATCCTTGTAGCCCAATTTTCAGCCACAGAGTAACAGGTACATAGTTACTATATATACCTAGTTAGGTCTGCTCACCACAGAATGGTCCGTCATTCAAAGTCAAAAGGGCAGCATTTACCGAAGGACAAAGTTGAGACGGGGTGGGAAGGACAATGGACTAGAAACAGTAACCACAGGAGGACGTGGGAGAGCTGTTGTTGCATGCAGGAGACTGCAATCATAGAAATGAAACGAAGTGTGTGATTGGTTGAATGTAAAACTGATGATTTTGTCTGGAAATCTTAACTGAGTTCACAACAAAAAGTTAAAAAAAAAAAAATTAGTGCAAGTTAAACATGAAAACATTTGAAAAACATTTAAAAATAGATCACCATTTAAAGCAAAATTCTGAGAACATATTGAAAGACAAAAAAATTAAAAATACAAAACCAAACATACAAAAACCTAAAATGTGAAAAAGAAATGACATCACATTGAAATTTCAGTAACAGCAAGTAAGTTAATCATTTCCGGAGGACGAGGGGCCGACATCTAGAACAGGGGTTGGAGGACCTTGTATAAAGTGCTAGACAGTAAATATTTTACATGTTTTAGGCATACGGTCTCTTATGCAACTACTCAACTCTGCCACGACAGGGCCAAAGCAGCAATTGGTGTTGTGGTTGTTAAGTGCTGTCGAGTTGGTTCAGACTCACAGCGACCCTGTGGGGTTTCCGAGGCTTTAAATCTTCGCAGGAGCAGACAGACGAGAGTTAAACAGAAGCGTATATGGCTGTGTTCCAATAAAACTTGATTTATAAAAACAGACAAACTGAGCCTGTGGCCTGTACTTTGTCAATCCCTATTCTGGAATGTTACGGAATTAATATTACAGGTTTTTCTAAAGATTGTCACAATGCTCTTGTAAAAGACTCTGAATTTCCATTCTTCACTGACTATGTATTCCTTCCCTCTGATCAAAAACACTAGTATTTAAAGCAGAAAGAATGCATATGGCTCAGAGACGAGAAAAGACAGAATCTAAACTACCCAAAGCCCACAAGGAAACTTAGTCTGGATGACTGAATAAAGAGCTTCTTGTATTTTTTCACATAGAATTTGACCACCTACATACCATGCAACTGTACACGTGTACGGGAAACAAATGTATGAAAGGGTTGTGTGGTTTCAAAATAAAACTACTATATAATGCACACATTATTCGCACAAATACAAAGCATTTCTTAGCTCGCCAAGAACCTTTCCAATGCATCTGAACATCTGGGGAAAGGCTAGGCTCCAAAGTCCAAACGGGTACTGAATTTCACATATGGTTAAAGTAGACCCACAAAGTAGTGAGTGGGACTAAGAAAGAAACATAAAAAGCAAGCCTCTACGTACACATTCTGCTCTGCATTCGGCCATTTGTTTTAGATGAAATCCCTTGGTTGGTGGCTGGGGCTGGGGGCAGAACCTGAGTGCACCTGTACGCCTGGCTGCAGGGCACATGCTACTCTGTTTTCATACTGCTGCTGTGAGGTGCCATGCAGCTGATTCGGACTCATAGTGACCCCATGTGCAGCAGAGGAGGCCCTCCACTCCTGGACCACTATGAGGATGTGCAGGGCAGGGCAGTGCTCCCTTCTGTTGTGCACAGGGTTGCTATGAGTCAGAGCTGACTGGGCAACACCTAGCAACAACGAGGCAACATTAACCTACCCCAGCTAATGCCTAGCCTTTCAAAGGCCCAACACAAGTATTATCAACTTACAAACAAAGAATCCAGAGCAAACAATTTGCTGTTGTCTGAATCAGCGAATGACAAGGCAGCTCCGGCCACCTGGCATAATGGGAATGTGGGGACTCCTTTTGCACCCCTATGGACAGCGCAGCCCCTAAAGTCGGGCTCAGCAGAGGGGCACGGTGACAACCTGGTCAGGACATGCACGGACTCGTCAGCCAGCGGGAGCCCAGGTGTCCGGCCTGCCTACCTCTCTGTTTCGACGGCTCCTCTTCCTCCGTGGGCTCGGAGGGGTCGTAGTAATCACTCCCGTACGTGAACCCCACAGCATTGTAGCTCCCGTCCTCAGCCAGGGCTTCACTCAGTCGCTTGTATTCTTCCTCTTGAATAAAAATGAGAGTTTTATTAATAAAAATGGAACTTTACTGGGGAAACTTTTGCACATTTCTAATATCGTAGCTATTGGCAACGCAAACAACACACATTTTTCAACCTCTTTGAGGCAAAATGCTTCTAAAAGTGCAGACTTTATGTCTATCAATCTGTGCTTTGGCCAGTACATGTTTACCCACAGACAGCAGAATACAGGTGTTTTGTGGAAAATTTCTTCCTGCTGAGAAAATTTGGGGATTAAGAACTGCTGTATTAAAGACTGTTAAGGCAAAGACAAGAACATCAATTTCAATGTATACGATACTGTTAAGGAAGAACAGTTAAAGAGTTTTTTTTTTTTTTTTTTCAAATCCCAGTCTGCCCTCAAAAGCTGGGAAAATTCTTTGTGGCTCTATATATAAACTATCCTGAGGTCCTCTCAGATACGCAAAGACTCCTGTTTTTCCAATCCAATGGGTACTGTCAAGATAATATCAGAAAGAGTGAGTATAAAAAAATGAATGGGAGTAAAATTTTAAATACTTAAAAAAAAATTTTTTTTTTTTTTTAAAGTTTGTGGCTGAAGTAAGTTTTTCTTGAGCAGTACCTTGCCTTGCCTCCTCCTCAAGCAAGTCCGTATGCAAGGCTAAATACCTCTCTTCATCACACAGGGCCTCTATTCGTGCCTCCTCTTCCGACAGCTGGTAATCTCGGTTCCAAGTGGAATATTCAGCATCGTACTCAGAAAGGTCATGTAGGTGACCACGCCCATCGTATCTGTAATAGGAACAAACTGGTCAGTGGAAAGAAACTGGAGGCAAGCTCTGTGCTCGGGTGGTCATTGACATACATACTTACCAATGAAAATAAAGAAGCAAAAACATTAAAGCAAATGTCAAAACTTCTAGATTTACATTTAATTTGGCTAATCATAGAGCTCACCTACTTTTAAACTCAAGTTATCTTAACAAAGTCTCAATTCCTCTCTACAATATAATCAAATTTATAGCTACAAGTAAAGAATCCTTTAAGAATAAATCTAGGTGGATACATATGCTGGCAGATCTTACCGTTTAAGGTTTGGCTAACCATTCATATGCCACTTGCTAAAAAAAAAAAAAATCATTTTTCTGAAATGTCAAATAGCATAGTTTACATTCACACAAACCCGAATACATAAATACCTATCCGAAAGAACCAAACGGTGGAAATTTCCTCGCTTCTCTCTGCTAGTCCCGAACTCTCAGGAGAGATCTTCACCAAAGAAACTTGCGTGTCCATTGGAGGTAAAATCTTAGCCATTTGGCTGAGGAAATAAGTTCTGGTTATGTGATAGAGAGACACACATACATAGGAACAGTGACATGTACATGCAGTTCAAGAAGTTCACTGGAAACAGAGCAAAACCGTTAGCAGATGCAACAGAAATGTTTTCTTCTACATTTTTCACCCAAGGGAAACGACATACATGAACACACATCCATGTTTTTCTTTCATGGACCAGTAGGTACTTTAGCCAAATGAAGTCTAAGAAAAGCACGTTTTGCTAGCTTTTCAACAGAAAAGAGTCGATCGTCGATGCTACCCATCAGCGTGCATCTATGTATCCGATGACAAATTAGTAAGTTGGTGAATTTCACTTAAGACATCCAGAGTTTTACAGTTGCAAAAACAATGCAGAGTGACAAACAAAAGTTTGGCTAATTGTTTAATGCTGCCTTTCGTAAAGGGACCAAAAGTGTGAATAAGAAGAGAGACAGTGACAAGGTTAAAATAAATACAGGGCTCAGACTGCAGAGTAGCCACGTCGGTTTCTGCATCTGACTCGGGTTCCAGCGGAACGTAAAGCTCCGTAACGTCCGAAAGCAGATCGCCCCCTAAAGCTAGTGCCCGATTTGGGGGGCTCAGCCAGCAGGCGCCGCACCGCCTCTCTCGCCCCGGGTGCTGGGTTTGAACCGCTGACCCGCTGATGAGCAGCCCAACACCTACCCCTCTCGGGCTGCCAGCGCTCCGAGAGGCCGCGCCGGGGACACCCTGCCCTGGCCCCCCCGCTCCCCCCAGCTCGGGGAGGGTCCAGTGTCAAAGGTCGGTCCGGCGCTGGAGGGGCGGGCAGCGTCCACATTGCCGATTGGAAACCGGCCACGGGGGTCGGGGGTCGGGGAACGGGAGGTGGAGATGATCCCTCCGGCGGCGGACGCGGCGCGGGACTCCAGCCAGCGCCTTAAGGCGGGGTTCACTTTCCCCCCAAACCAGGACGATGTGAGGACAGGGGAAGGCGCCTCCTGGACCCAGAACCCATTTTCAAAGTCCTGGCCATCAAGTCAACATCCGACGAAACAAGCGGGCGAGGGACGGGGAGGATGGACGGGTGGGGAGAGGAACCGACCTGTCGATGAGGATCTTGTGGTCCCCCATCCAGGGGATGAGGTGCTGTCCCTGTTCCTGGGCCAGGGCCCGCTCGTCGTCCCGGAACAGCTTGCAGGCATAGCCGAACACCAGCAGCTCCACTCGGTTTCCCCCACTGCCGGCAGCGCCGGGCCCGGCCTCCTCTTTGGCGCCACTTTTCCTCTCAGCTTTGGCGCGGCCTCCGCCCGCGCCGTACATGACAGCGTCCCCGGCGTCCAGGCTGATCCTCTTCTGTGCCGCTCCGGAGTCCCCGATGCTTCCGTCTGGCCTACCCCCTCAGTCAAACGCCCCGCATCCCGGGATCAACTTCAACAGCGCCGCCATAGCGGGCAACAAAATGGAGGCGACGCCACTTCCGGTGGGAGGGAGCCAGCACATCCGGCGAGGTGTTCGGCAGATTCGTCACCCTTCAGGGCCGTCTGAAGCGCTAAAAAAAAAAAAAACCTTTAGTTTTTAGTGTTTAGGAACGCCTCCAGTATAGAGTATATTGTGTGCAGTTTTCAGTCTTAGATTTTAGTCCTTGTTTTCGCAGGCGGCTGGCACGAACGACCACGAAAGTACGAAGCGGAAACACCCGATCGCTTTCTTACGTCGATGGCGTCTGAGCGGGAGAGACTCGGGTGCAAGCGGATGCGGCGGCGGCGGCGGCGGCGGCGGCGCGGGCCTGTGGCTCCGCGGCTCTGCGCTCTTCGGAGGAAAGATAGTCGCTGTCCTGCGCTTCCGCAAGGCCAAGGGCAGGGGTTTCGGGTGTGCGGTCACCGGCCCCTCTTTTGTCTTATCTCAAGGGATCGTGGGCCGTGTCTCCCTCACCTCACATTTCCATAGCAGGTGTCTGGCTGGTGGCCCGAGTGACAGGGAACCCCGGGACACAGGGCGGAGGGAGAAAGACGAGGCAGGTTTCATTCACAGAGATGTGCACCCTTCTGCTCCGTCCCGTCGGCCTGTTTCCCCGCAGTGGCCCCCAGGCACCCTCCGGCTGTAGTGATGGGGTCGTGTAATGTGGACGGGGAGCAGTCCGGTGCTTGTCCTACAGACACACCGGGACTCCCGTCAGGGTTTGATGCTGCCGTTAGTGGCGTCGAGTGGGCTCCGACTCGGCCAGCCTGTATGGGATTTACCAGGAGCGGCTGGTGGGTTTGAACCGCCGTCCTGCGCGTTCTTCACGGTGCTGCCCCCTAGGGTTCCACAGTCTGGACCGAGCAGCCTTTCTCCCCTCCGTAGTCCCAAGAGTGACTAGTGGGCTTGAACCTCTAACTTCTCCGCAGCTAAGCGCCTAAGTAGAACTCCTAAAACAGAACAGCGAAACCCAGCCCTCTTCCATGGGGTTGATTCTTACAGACACGATGGGTCAGACTAGGACTGCCTTATAGGGTTTCCGAGGTTTACAGATGCACACTACCACCTCTTGGAGCGACTGGTGGGTTTGAACCACGGACCTTTCAGTTAGCAGATGAAAACCTTAACCACTGTGCCATCAAAAATTCGATTTGTTGTTAAAACAGAGTGGGTTAATGAGCCAGACTGCAAAGCCGTTTGAACTGTAAGGTCAGTGGTCAAGCTCACCAACTGCTCTTCAGAAACCCTATACAGAGTCGCTATGGGTCAGAACCGACTCGAGGGCACTAACCATCAACTGTCCAGACTGATGAGTTTCTTTTTCTTGCTAATCCATAGTTTATGAACATCTTTCCATGAAATTAACTTTACTTCTACAATTTTGAATAATGGATTCACCCCAAATTTACTTAGCCAGTCCCCTACTTTGAAGCAAGTCTTCAATATTATAATCCATGCTGTGATGAATATTTTGGCAACTTTATTGTGCGTCCCCACTTAATTTTTTTTTTCCTTAGGACATACCATTTCTTAAAGTCGAATTTGTGGTGCATACCAGCCTTCTTTTCAAAATGTGTTTGTTTTGCAAATATTAAATAAACAAAACGGGAAATTAAAAAAAAAATTTGATTTGTAAAATTCCTTTACATAAAGTTTGATACAGGGTTTCCGAGACTGTAAATCTTTACGAGAACACCTTTCTCCCGTGGAGTAGGTGGCTTTGATCTGCTGACCTCGCGGTTAGCAGACCTGTGCTTACCCTACAGCCGTTTATTCACCATTCCAACAAGGAGTTCCCACCAGATGGCCTTTGCAGTTCTCGTTTCCTTTGGCATTTCCTTTGAAAGGCTCCCCCCTCAGGTCTTAATCACCTCAGAGACCTTTGTGGTCCATACACCTGCTCCGGACCATGGCCCGGCTGAATTGTCTTTATGGTTCTAGGACGTCATCAGATAACACGGGGCAGGACCAGGCACTGTTAGTCCTACTGTATGTACATGGCACTGCTGCGAGCCATGACTGGTGACAACACCCAACACCAACACTAACAGATTGCGGTGAGCTCTGAGGACTCAGGCGGCTCCATGCTAGAATTCTCAGGCAGGTTCAGTGTCAACCAATTTCTGGCATGCATACTCACCATCCATCGGCCAGTTGGGGCTTGTGGGTTTGATGCTGAACACTCAGTGGAGCTTCCAGACTAACATGGATGAGGAAGAAAGTCTGGTGATCTGTGGAAACCAGCCAATGAAAACCCGATGTAATTTACAATAATGGTGGAAAACAAAACAACAAAAAAGTAGCTTCTGCAGCGGTTTATATAAAACCAAACACCTTAGGAGATTTGGTTCCTTTGTTTGCAAGTTTAGGCCATGGTTTCATGGGACATTCCAGTTGGTATACTAATGTGTTTAGTGCTTCTGGTCTACTTCCTAGTTGGTGGAGTAAAGCCTGGTATCTTAAAGCCATGCAAAGCGAGATAATTAGTCTTGATTTGCTTGGAGCAGCAGAAGGAGGAGAGTGGAGGACAGGAGGAGGAACTGGGATGTGTGGTTAATCATCTCCGTGAACAACTGAGACCAGACTATCTGGTGTCTGGCTGCCATCAGTGAACATTTCGATCCAAGATTCTTTAGAAGAATCATGATCAAAAGAGGGGGTACTGAAGAACAGAATTTAAAATTTTCACAGACTTCACATTTTCTGAAGCCAAAGGAGCTGGAGGAACCTCCTGAAACTATTTCCCATAGATAATCTTTAAACCTTAAACTGAAAATATCCCTTGAAATCATCTTAAAACTTAGAAATAGTTTCACTAGTAGTGAAGGCCTGCCTTGAGCATGAAGCTCTGTTAACTATCTGGTATCAGGGTAACAACAGGAACTCCGAAGACTAGACAGACCCTCAGTGGGCAGTGAGCTGCTGTTTATGACGGAGGAACAACTTGGAGAAGGAGGGTGAGGATGGTTAACAACTCAAAGAATCGCATCAATGTCACTGAATTGTGCACATAAAGGTTGTACATTTTCTGTGCGTATTCTCAACAACAAAATACAGTTTAGACAAAACAAAACCCCTCTCTATGGATCACAAAGGTCCAAGCCGCAGTCCACCACAGGGATGGCACAGAACACGGCAGTGTTTCATTCTGATGTGGGGGGTCACCGTGACTAACACCAGTAACTGTCTCCTGGAACAAAGGCTGTCGTCTCACAAAGAAGGGGAGAATGGGAATTGGGTGGGGCTTTTAGCAATACGCCAGGGACACTTGCTATTGTTCCTACTGGGAGACATACCCACCGACTGCCGCAGAGTCAGTTCCGACTCAGAGCAACTCTATAGGACGGAGAAGAGCTGGCCCATGGGGTTCCGAGGCTGTAACTCTTCCAGACCTGGACTACCACATCTTTCTCCCGGGCAGGGACTGGTGGGTTCCTATTGGTCAGCAGCCCAAAGCTTAGCCCGCTGTATCACCAGACCTCCTTAGTCACAAGACAGTAAGTAGCACACACTCTCTCTTTATGGATCTGAAAATGTGCAGTATACAAGTCCTGGGGTGCAATGTTGAAGCACTTGGCTGCTTACTGGAAGTTGAGCAGTCTTCAGTCCACCAGTGAGGCTGCAGAGGAAGACCTGGCCTTCTGCCCCGTTAAGCTGACCACCTAGGAAACCCCTCTGTCCTGTGGAGCCGCTGTGAGTTGGAATCCACACAAAGGCACCAGAACGTCGGTCAATCTAGAAAGAACGGTTCGTTTTATTGAGTCCTTTATGAATCAGGGTTCATTCAGGGCAAGAGCCCGAAAGGCAGCTGGTTGGATAGAAGGGATTGAGTAACCTGCACTAGTCACTGAAATTTAGGAAGAGCTGGAAGGAGGGTAGGCCAGGCTGCCCTGGGACCCACAGCTGCAGAAAGCAGTGCTCCCCGTGGGCCTGAGGAAGGGCAGGAGGACATGGTGTCAGGAGCTGGGTGGGGATGGGAGACAGGCACATGAGAAAGATGCAGAGGATGCAAACAGGAAGGCAGTGCTCTGGCGCCTCCCATCCTCTCTACACCCAGCCGGTGGCGCCCATGTACTGGAGCTCAGGAGAGCTATAAGGTGCTCACTGGCCTGTTTTTCATTTTTAAAGAAATAGTTCACCAGGTCTTTCTTCCTACTCTGTCTGGGTCTAGAAGCTCTTTTGAAACCAGTTCACCATGTGTTACCCTAGTAATATTTGAAATATCAGTGGTACAGCTTCCAGCATCCCAGCACCACACAAACCTCCACAGTAGGACACGCTGACCAGACAGGTGGTGGGGAGATCATGGACTACGGCAAGCCACCAGGAGGGACAGGTCCCTGGAGAAGGACACTGTGTTTGGTAAAGTGGAGGGTCAGCGAGAAAGAAGAAGACTCTCAACAAGATGGACTGACACAGAGGCTGCAAAGGTGGACTCCAGCTTAGCAGCAGCTGTGAGGACAATGCAGGACCGGGCAGGGATTCCGTCTGTTGTACATGGGCTTCTGGGAGTCTGAATCGACTTGATGGGACCCAACAACCTGCTGTGGCTGTCATGCAGTAGAATCAGCACTAGATTTGAGCCACAAGAGCGACAGTTCAAACCCACCAGCTGCTCAGAAACACCGTTCAGGGTTACTATGAGTGGAAACCATTTCCATAGCAATAATGAGAAACCATTGGGCAAGGAGGCTGGGGGTGCCAGCCTGCAGGTCAGCCTGGATGTCCACAGCAGAAGGGGTCCAAGGACAAGGAGGTGCCGCTCTGAGCCCTGATAAAGAAGCTACTTTTACCTCCATCTCATATGGAGATGTGAAGTGACCTGGGTCACTGTCCAACACAGGAGAGCCTGTGCATCAGCC